AATAATCAACATAATTACACTTTTTACCCCCGTTTCCCCTTTTAACATCTGAAAGTCTATTTGTAAAGGTCTAAAATACCCAATTTTGAGTCATTGTGACACTGTATACCAGTCTTTCCCAAAGTGTGCGATAACGCCCCCTTGTGGGCGCTGCAGGTCTCAAGTTGCGGGTTATAGTAAAAGTTTCGTTTAGAATTCTCCGTTAATAAACATATATAGGTCACAATAATACTTTAATTTAATTTGAAGTTATAGATAGTGGTCTTTAAATATGTGTGTGGCGCTAAAAAAATATTTATTCTCAAAGTGGGCAGTAGACAAAATAAGTTTGGGAACCACTGCTGTATACCATCGTGTTTATTCAGTGAATCTGACACTAATTATAGCTTGTTACAAAAAAATTGCAACAACTATTAAAATGCATTCTACTGGCACTTATGTGCACATAGACTTTACCGATCATTTTTATTCCGTTTATTGTTTATCTAAAACCACAAATATATGTCAACGGTACCCTACAAATGTATACTTAATGAACAAAACGGTTAATTATGATTTGACTAGAAATAAGATTTATGACGTTATTACTATAAATCTATATATATAAAAGAGAGTCGTGTTAGTTACACTATTTATAACTTAAGAACGGTTTTACCGATATGGCTGAAAATTGGTGAGGAGGTAGCTTAGAGTCTGACATAGGATTCTATTTATTCATTTTTTTTTCGAATTTATGCCTTGAAGAGCTGCTATTTATTTTACTTACTAATATCATAAATGCAAATGTTTAGATGGATGTGATGTGGATGGATGGATGGGTGTTTGAAGATATCTCGAGAACGGCTGAACGGATCTCGATTAAATTTGGCGTACGTATAGAACATAGTCTGAAAGAACACATCGGCTTCACTAATTAAGTTTTTTATATATCCACGCGGACGGAGTCGTGGGCGACATCTAGTTCTAAAATACCTATAGTAATGTAGTCAGATTGACTGATTTAAAATAATTTAAATCGTATTTTATTGATTGTTTTTTGCTTTTAAATATTTTTGTTAGCGAATACAACCGAGTTATCTATTTATTAAGTTACTTCAACGAATTCAATAATTTATTATAACTAAATACTTGTAAAGGTTTATCTTAACCTTTTACAATAAGAAAAGCGAGAGTTTCTCGAAGGAATCAGTATATAATTAAAGATAATGAGACGCCATTCAGACGTCCGTCTGGGTCCTTTGCGGCATAGAGTTAGGAAAAGTCAAAAGTAGATCATGGACAAACAATTTCAAAATACAGTTTATCTCTTTATGCCAAAATAAAACATTTTAATGTCGTTTATTTTTATATAATTAATTTTATTTAAAATTCATAATAGTATCATCATCATCAGCTCATCGTACGTCCCCACCGAGGGGCTCGGAGTTAAGTTATTCATAATAGTATATTTATGCGTAATTTATCTATCGATATTTTTAATAGGTGTAAAAATCACACCAATTGCCATAAGTAAATAAAATAACAAACAAAAATTTTACAAGAAATAAATACAATCCTTAAAAAATCTTATTTTTTTGTGGTCGCTCTATAAGTTCGTAGCTCTACGTGCACCCTTCTGCGCGGGCTAAGACAGAGATCTCCAAATGAAGGATTTAATTCAGTTATTTCGTAGCCATCTATCCCTTTTTATTTGCGAATTCAACTTAAAATTTAATTGTTGATTAAATCAATTATTCATCGCCTCAACAATAATTTTGAAATTTGTCCTTCTACAAATATTTCTGCAAGAAGTAATGTTAATTTCTTTCATTCTTAAATTAAAATTAACTCTTCCAATAAATAATTCGGTTTGAACTTTGTCGTAATAAAATTAGTCACACACAAATATTTATTACAATTCCAATTTACACACACATTTCTAGAAGTGAAATTACGTTCCGATTCAAGACTGACACATGACAATAGAGAAGGCGTAAAGTGGAAGTATTTCCTTCTAATCTTCCAGACCCTTTTTAATAATGATAGGATGGGAAAGGAATGTTGAAAAATAGGCAATTGATTTGCAACACTGACTTACCACAAATGTCTATGACGACTGTAACTTATTGCATCCCGGAGGCCTAATTTATTCCTCTTTCCCTTCCCACCCTTTTCCTTATAAGGAAAGTCTGGGAAGTGGAAGTGGACTTTCCGGATAAGAGGATGCATGGAAAGGGAAAATGTTTTCTTTCTATGCATCATCTCCTCCGTCGATTAAAGGTAGACAACGCATATGCAATTGCGTATGCATATGGGCAACGGTCACCTCGCTATTTCAGCGATTTCAGGTGGCCGCTCGCTCGTTTGCTACCTTATGATATAAAAAAAAAGCTACGCTATTTTACCAATGCCAAGTCTCCGTTCGCGCTTTTGCTAAGTTCTTCTCAATATTAAAGATTTATTATAACATATATGCTTTGCATTACTATTTAAAAGCGATCCTTAAAACTTGAACAATAGCACGAAGTATTGGTCATAAAAGTTAAAAAATCGCGATGGCAATCGTAAAGTCGCTGGCTTGTAATTTGCGACGGACAAAAAATATATATAGACCATTTGAAATTAAAATCGCTAATGACGAAGACCATTAAGTTAATCATTTTAATTAGAAGTTGGCGTTCTCTTGCGCTTTGTGCGAGGCCTTTTTTATAACGAGATGCGCTTCTACATCGATATGAAGAAAACATTTTAATAGCTACGTTTACTACGTATAATACTATTCCTTTAATAGTCAGTTTCCACTGCACACTGATCCGATAGAGATAAAATCATCAGCTCACTATAAGTCCCCACTAAGGGTCTCGGAGCCTATTCTAAGTTAGGTGACTACGCCATAGTCACACGCTGGCTCAGTGCGGGTTGACTTCACACATATCTTAAAACTCGCTGATATATGCAGGTTGCATCACGATGCTTTACTTTACCATAAGAAAGTCGAAATATACAAATGTTAATTGTAAATCGATTGCATTTGCAAGAGTCGAAGTTTAAATGGCGGAGCAAATCTTTACAGTTGACATTTTATAAATACGCGTCAGCTGTGTAGTCGCTTTGTCTGTAGTGATAGACAACCGACGTCGACGATTCATTCATTCGCGATACTTGCGACGCAAATACAATACTAGTTTTAACGTTACGTTGCCTTGTATCCGAAGGGTCTTATCTCAAAATATAGTATAAGAATTGTTTTTAACCAGAGAAAAATTGACAGAAATGTCTCCGTGAGACGTAAACGTAATCTTACTAACGTTCTAAATGCGAATGTTTGGATTGATGAATGTTTCTTTCAAGGTATCTCCAGAACGGCTCAACGGATCTTTAAAAAAATTTGACACAGATATAGAACATTATCTGGAAGAACACGTAGATTACTAATTATTATTTTTTATCTCGCGCGGACGGAATCGCGGACGATAACTAGTCTTAATCTATTCCCCCATGTTACATGCAAATCACACGCACGTGCACGCTCTAAGTATCCAGGATATCTATAATATGCCACCTCCTGTCAACACCCAGTACAGTGTACAGATCTTAAGGTTGTCAATTGAATAATATGCGATTGTAAGTACCACGAAGTATTATTATAGAAAATGTTAACACGTTTATATTTGAGGATATTCCTATAATATTAAATGGCCAGCCGCGACTCAGTCAACGCAGAATTCGAACCAAAACTTAATAAGTAGGTAAGTCTATGTGTTTTTAAGACTATGTTCTACATCTATGTAGCATTTCATTGAGATATGTTGAGCTGTTCCGGAGATATCTTGAAACAAACATCCATCCATCCAAACATTCGTATTTATAATAGTAAGATTGAGACAGTCTCTTAATAAATGTACGAAGTGTTACATTTAACTATTTTATTCAATTCATGATTAACGAAAATCAATCTAATATGATAAAAGGAAAACTTAAGATAGTTGCATGGATGTTTGTTAGAAGGTTTCTCCAGAACGGTTGAATAGATCCCGGTGAAATTTGGCATAGATGTAGAACATAATCTTGAAGAACACATAGGTCAATAATTAAGTTTTCTTTTAATTCCTCACAGACGGAGTTGTGTGCGACAGCTAGTAATATTGTAAAAAATAATTAAAATTTGATGAAATCGTTATACCGTTTCTTTGTAAGAGTTAATAATCAATTTAATCAAACTGTAATTTACCGCAAGAAACCGTTACACGAAACGTCGGTCTCTTTAATTATATAATAATTTTAATGTCAACATCTTTACAAATGAGCTATTAATTCGAAGTTAATTAAACTCGCGTTATCTTCGTATGCACAAATAATTAACTACAAAGAGTAAAAACAACCAGTTCAAGTTGTATCATTACGTTTTAAAAACCTGAATACTTGTGACATTCCATTGTAATCGAATTACGAGAATTTATAAATATTCAGTGATACATTACTGATAAGGTTAGGAAAAAATTTATAAACAGTCAGGTGAAGCGACAATGGATAGGGTGCAGAAAAACAGGATCGTTTACAGGAGCGTTAATTGATTTGAATAAATGAATGATTACAATGTTAGTAAAGGAACTAATACCCGGTTTCTGAAGTTTCCATTTATATTTAAATATCTAGTGATTCAATTATTTACAAGATTAATTTCAGTTATGTTTCTGAGTATGAAATGAAGCGTTCATTAATTTTGTAGCCTATAAGTGCATGCGTGCACTAGCTACCTTCCCGTGCAAGCCTTGTCAAAATCGGTCCAACCGTTATTAAGATTACCCGGAACAACCGTGGCGTTGGGGACAGACATTTATACAGACAGAGAGACAAAAAAAATTGTTTTTTTCAGCATCAAGTGATTGTTTTACGATATTACAAACACCCGTACGATTTATTCATATTTTTTTTCTACGTATATTGTCTTGTGCGATTAAAACGAACTAACGCGTATTAAAAGCGAAGTCTTCGGTTTAAAAAAATTAAATGTTTCTTACTATAGCTCCTAGTTTCAATGTCCCGTCCATTCGATACCCACGCATAGGGATTTTCATTTTTCATAAAGGCTGTGATTGCAATGGCCTCTGAAAGAAGAAAAAGAAAAGATGTAGGAAGACTTTTTGGAGATTTTCTTTTTTGAGAAAAAGAAAATGGGTCAAATCGCGCCCGCATATAATCAATATTTAATTTCATAACATGAATATACACGTAAATGTGAATGTATTAACGACATTCTTTGCTTATATCAAAAGACGAGATCCAAATCGTAATCTACGACTACCTAAAGGTAATAAGTTAGTTTGACACGATCGATTATTGTCCAACATTTATGACATATTTCAGCTGTAGGTAAGCATATGTCACCCTGATTTACCTCAAGTAGGTTTATTTCACGCATTTATATACATAAAAATTAATTGCTGTTCGTTAGTCTCGCTAAAACTCGAGAACAGCTGAACGGGTTTATCTTATATTAGTCTTGAAATGTTCGTGGACGTCTAGGGAAGGTTTAAAAGGTGAGAAAAATTGGAATAATTGCCGGGAACTAATTAAGTTTTTTCTTTGATTCCACGTGGACGGTGTCGCGGGCGACAGCTAGTCAACTATAAATTTTACCCTTGCCTTATACACTAATTAGCTATCGCCCGCGACTCTATCCGCGCAGGATTAAAAATAGATGTTGGCCGATTCTCAGACCTACTCAATATGCTCACAAAATTTCATGAGAATCGGTCAAGCCGTTCCGGAGGAGTATGGGAACGAAAATTGTGACACGAGAATTTTATATATAACATTAGTACTTTCAAGTAAAGATTCGAATACAAAAAATACTGGCCAGAAATGTTTTAGAAAAAAATTATAATAAAGTTTAATATATTTGCTATAAACAGCCACTTATTACACATAACATTTGTTGAATTTTATCATTTAATGGCGTATATTTCCTTAATTATATTAAGTTTGGTAAATCACGTTCTTTACGTAACCTTGTGGTTATTCATGAGATATAACGCGAAATAAATATAATAATAAATTGATTAGAGCATTAATTGTATCCGCATATGAATTTACCTTAATAATATTACAGAATAAAGCTTAGCAACAGGATAAATCATATTGTATTATAGTAACAATATATAAAGTACTAGCTGTCGCCCGCTAACTATTGGTCGCAGCGTAATGTTACACAGCCTAAAGCATTCCTCTATAATTGGACTATCCAACAAAAAAAGAATTTTTAACCATTAGTTCTTGAGATTAGGGCGTTTAAATAAACAAACTCTTCCGCTTTATAATATTAGTATAGATTAATAAAAGCCTTATTGAAATTGCGACTTATAATAAAATAAGCATGTGACCGCTACTCCTAGAGATCCGCCATAAGGTAGAAGGTTGCAGATGCGTTCCCTAAAAAACAGGCGAACGAAGACACTTTCCATTCCTCTACATTTCCTTAACGTCCAAATACACTTACCTTCCACATTCTTTACTTAGAAGAAAATAGTTGGAAGGAAAAGACGACTACAATAAGCCTCACACACTTAACGAAATTGCATAAAAACTTGCACTTGACGACTGTCTTCTGTGTCGTCGTGGTATTGCACGTACGGGCTATTTATGCAGCAAATAACGATGCTACAAATAATAAGAGTCGAATTTTTACTTATTTACTAAGTCAAGTGCAGTTTTACTTGCAACTGGAACAGTGTAAGTGACAGTGTTATAATGAATAAAGCATGTTTTGCTTTTTAAAACATTGTCTAATCAATCTCCCCCGACGTTCTATTTACTATTTCTATTTCAATAAAGGATGTAAGTGCTTAAAGTGATTGTTAAAATTTGCTCCCTAAATTGACGATATAATGACGGCACCAAACAAGTATCAGCTTCCGACTTATTTAACTAATTGGTACTCTGCGATAGTACTTGCTATGATTTAACATAATTACGAGTAAATCTATCAGCATGGACTGATTTTACAATTGTAACTGGATATTGTGATTTAATTCACTAACAATACATATAAACCTACGCTACATTGTAAAGTCATGGTGACTCTCAATGAGAAAATAAATTGGAGCATGATATCTCCACGGGTTCCTGTGAAAAAGATTTGACAGGCAGATGAAAGGACATAAAAGTGATCCTATAAGGGTTCTCTTCGGGAAGTTCTTTTCGAGATACGGAACCGACGCTTATGGACATCCGCAGCACAAGAGGATCAGGAGATGCGTTGCCGGCCTGACGAGGTACGCCCTGGCCGCCTTCTTAAAGACCCTAAGTCGTAGCGGTTGGAAATACCTGACCATTCAACAACGTGATAGTGCTCGGTAGGAGGTAGTTCACTGTAAAGGTGTGCTAGCCATCGTACAGGTGGTACCGGGTGGTCTGTCGTGTCGTCCGATGATGGAACTATTCCATGCGATTCTTCGTGGCACTCCCCGTGGTATTTTAATCTGTACTTTTCTAGAGATCTTTGACAGACTGAAAGACGCACAATATATGACATTTATATTTATATTTTTACAGTTTTCGAATGCGATTTTCTCTTGTATATAGAAAAGTTTGATTATTTTTTTTTTGTATAAAAATATAGACTTTGTTAAAACAGAGAGTAGCCCGATACGGAGAATGTTTTCCATTAGTTCTGCAGTTTCCGAAATTACAACAAACGAACAAACTTTACCTTTCAATTAATTTATGAAAACGTACATCATTTGCGAACTGTTTCAGTTGTATTAAAACTATTTAATGATTGTTTAAGTTGAGTATACATTTTTTTTAATATAAAATACTAGCTGTCAACCGCGACTCCGTCCGCGGAGAAAAAAAATATAATCATGAACCTATGTGTCCTTCCAGACTATGTTCTACATCTATGCCAAGTTTCAAGTTTCCAAATTCAATCTATGGCAATTATTCGTATTATTCTTACCTTTTAAACCTTCCGAAAACTTTAAACGAACAGACCAAGATAAGATAAATCCGTTCAGCAGTTTTCGATTTTTTTTGTGACTGAGTAGCCACCGTTTGCCTTGAAGAGGCATTTACAGCTTCACCGGGCTTGAGATGGTCGAGCGCAGATGGCGCTTATAGCAATTGATTTTTTATTTACAACTAGCAGATTTTTGTTAATTTACTATATATACCATATCTTTTACCATTCCAACTAAGCTCTATGCTAGTGGACATGGTTTACGACAACAGTCAAATGATGGTATTCGAACGACTAACCTCGTGATCGGAAACCTGTATCCTTAACCATTAGGCTATTGACGCTTGATACAGATTTTTTACTAACTTTTGTCCCGGTAAAAGATAATTGGTTGAACAAGATCATCAAACATTTCAATAATGGATCATACTCGTAACATCAAACGAATCAGACAAACAAACTAATCGAATCATACGAAATATGTGAAAAATTAAGACTAGATGTTAATATAAGCATCTGTCCCTTTCAGTAAAACTTCTTGGGGAGTTTATCTAAACTTTATCTTATAGTAAGCAACCAAAAAAATTGAAATAATTGTTTTAAAACTTGCAAAACTCATTTCTAAATTAAAAAAAAAACAAGATTTTTTTCATCATCATATTGTTTCATCATCATCATCATACTCAGCCTAAACTTGTCCACTGCTAGACGTAGGCCTCCCCCATCGATTGCCATGCCCGGTCCTGTGCCGCCCGCATCCAGTGCACTCCCGCAACCTTGACCAGATCATCGGTCCATCATATTGTTTACCCTATCTTTATAGCCAAATTAATAACTTCAGATGAATATTATAAAATTGGCAAAGCAATTATGTACGCATCCAATCGGTCCCATTCATCAACGTCACCAAAAACGCTTTATCCCCTAAAAAGTAGACCGACTTTAAAGCAAGATGATTCCGCGAGCAATCCTCTACCCAGCTAATAACAGCATCCGAATGAAGGGTTGCGGCCGATTCAAGAAATTTAATGAAATATTTGATTTATGCCCACCATGAATATCAGGTAGCTTATTATATGAATATATCATTAAATATTACGTATATAATTAAAGGCCGGGTTAGCCTGGAGCTACCCCAATTTATACCGCGCGCTCCGCATTATAATTTTAATAAAATTGCCCGACGCTCGATAAAATAATACAGAAGAGTTTGAAAAAAAAATAATAACGAAATTATAACACGTCTGATTGATGTATTATTTGGTAATTTATCGCGTGTAATTACATCGAGTAATAATGGCCGATAATGCGATGCGGCGACGGCGCTGAGGGAACGATTTATTAGTATTTATTAAAGTATGAATTATTGTATAATTACTAGGATGGTGCTTCCAAACTAAACAGAACGGTTGTTTTAGGGTTGAATTTATGACCGGTTTCTCGGAGGCGATCTAATCGCACCGTCGACTGAACCTCGCCGCGGCGGTGCGCCTCTCCAATGTTCATCATTCAGTGTTTGTATTGCAACGGCTTTGTTTTAAACATTTCACACGAATTGAAGTTCGAATGGGAACCAAATATTACAATTTTCGAATTCATAGATTAAAAATAGCTTTTCATTGAAACTTACTTCCTTTAAATATGTTATACTTACGTTTTCTATATAGTTACAAAGTTTAAAAATAATTATTATAACATAAATATCCATTCTATAGAACCCACTAGCAGGAGTAGGCCTAGAAAGAAATGGATAGATTGCATAAAAGGTGACATGATTAAGAGCGGAGTGACGATTCGATAACGGAAAACAGGTGGACGAAAACTGGTGCACCTACCCCACGTGGGACAGATAATGACTAACTACCCACGTTTAAAACGCATTCACTCGTCCGCGACTAATGATTAGGTGTTTGCATAAAAGAATAAGTCTACAGCATTGCTGCAAATGCGTTAAAATTTTGGCAAGGTCAGGATATATTGTCTCGCGTGTCGACATCGCTCGTTGTGATCTTAACAATGTTGTCGGTAATTATCTCTTTAAATCTCTGCCTTTATTGCTCATGACAAGTTTTTAGAATAACAATTGTTTAACGCGTTCAATTCAAAGATTTTCAGTAATTAAAGTGAAGTCGGGACTCAGTAGCATTGAAAGTTATTTTGACATGCTTTAACCCCTTAGTGCTAAAAGAAATATAGGATTTGGGAATGCAAATATCTAGGTTAACTTGGTATGTAGTGACTATTATGTACATTTAACCAAAACTATTACATAGTTTAATTATTACTAGCTGCCGCCCGTGACTCAGTCCGCGCTGAATTAAAAAAAAAAACTTAATTAGTAGCCAATCGTTCATCTAGACTATGTTATACATCTGTGCTAAATTTTATCAATATCCGTTCAATTCAGTCGTTCCAGAGATACCTACAAACAAACATGCATCCATCCATATTAGTAAGAAGTAAGATTAGTTTCGATTTAGGATATTCTTTGATGTTATTGACACTTAAAAATATTAAAAAGAAAATATTTACGATAAATTAAATTCACATTTTATATTCGCTTGCACGTGACTTCATCAGCAATAATTGCTTAAGCTACTCCCGAATACATCAGTTACCTTCCAACAAGAATCCCATCAAAATAAGTCTAACTGTTTGGAAGATTACCCGAAACAATCGCGAACTCGTGGACAGTCTTTGAGTAGAGGAAATACTTCATGAACAAAAGGTATTTCTTTAGTTTCCATACTCCAATTTCATTGGATGAGTAATAAGCGTTTAGAATAACAGCTTAAAAATCGATAACGTACATTAAAAAATATTTTTCTTAACTACGAACACAACAGTACATGATCCTTTAAATCGATTTGTAGTTTTTCTATAACAGTAATTCTTACTTTATGCTGCATACAGATAAGAATCACTCGTTAAAATGAGTAAACACACATAATTCAATGTTAATAGTTTTTATGGACGCTTTTATAAGCGTTATGGAGGGATCGAGTACAAGATTATAAAATATTGTACAGATGTGTTAAATGTTATGTGTTATTTATTTGTTTTTTTAATCAACCCCATGTTTAGGGTAGCCACTATTTTTTTTATCTAACATCGAAGTCTTAGGACTAAATGAACATGTTCTTCAGTTCTGAAGTGTAAAAAATAATTAATAAAATGGTTGTCGAGGATTTTTTGTCCGACCGTAGAGGCTCAAGTTTTATATGAAGGTGTTTCTAATCAATCACATTCATTTGTTTCCTTAGATGTGATCTTTTACCTTTTTTTTTGCTTCTGGCCTTTTTCGTTTACATCACCATTTAACAGACATGATTGTGGTCAAGCGCTTGTTAAATCGTTACAAAATGGCACTTTGTTTGGGTTAGTATGTGTAACATACTAACCCTCATCGAAGAACCCTAGATAGATAAACTGTTCTTTACTCTATTCGGCAACTCATGTTCTCCTTAACCCTATGACTGCTGCCCTTAACTTGTAAGAATGTTATAAAAATGACTTACCGGAGCCACTGGCAAACAGGAAGTCCCTGTGTAGGGATGAAGTCTTCAGGTAAGGGTAAAACAGCTTGCTGCCGGCCGCTGCCTTTCACGTTACTGTCAAATTAAAACAAATATTAGAAGTTTGAACTCAGGGTTTTTTTTAATATATCATAAGGTGGCAAACAAGCGAGCGGTCACCTGAAATCGCTGAAATAGCGAAGTGACCGTTACCAATAGACTTATGCAATTGCCTAAGCGTTGCCTACCTTTAATCGACGGAGGAGAGGATGCACAGAAATAAAATATTTCCCTTTCCATGCATCCTCTCATCCGGAAAGTCCACTTCCACTTCCCATCCTTTCCTTATAAGAAAAAGGGTGGGAAGGGAAAGAGGACTAAATAAGGCCTCCGGGACGCACACTCATCAGACGAAACGCGGAATTGCTTCCACTTCACGCCTGTCTTCTGTGTTGTCGTGGTATTTCACTGAGCGAGCCGGGACAATTCGTGCGAAGATGTTAAAGCGGGCTCTACCACTGTTAAAGCCATGGATTACATTTATAAGGATATTCTTCGTATGTTTTTCCTTTCTTTATCCGCAATAGTTTGTGTTTTGTTTTAAAACACTTCAATACAAATTAAATTTATAGTTATTAGGGTTGTCTCATCTTTGTTTATAAGGTACAAATAGGATTGATGGATCTTGATACTTGTTAAGAAATGTAATAATAAGTTAATGAAGTTTTTTACTAAAATAACTTAACTTTTTGTTAAGTTAAAATGTTGTAGAAGGGTAAAAACATGTAATTACCATACTAACTATAAGGTTTTAGATGTTAATTAAGTTTAAGTTAAGCCAAAACATCTGAAATTTTCCGTTTATATAAATCGACCCCACTCGCATTTCTCAAAATAACATGAAAGTTAAAAAAGTCAGTACAAAATAAGTGAAAGTACTTCCTTGGAAAAACACCAGCTTAGATTACGACAGATTTAAATCTAAGACCTCGTGCTTAGTAACTTCGGCGGATAAAGTTTAAGTTATTCTTAAGTTAAAAATGAAAAAAAGAAAAGTAGCTATGTAAGAAACTGATAATTTAAGAGCAAAAGTAAAAGAGGTAAGTGTAAATAAAAATGTTATTTTTACTGGAAATTAGCGATTTTTTCTTATTCAGCTCATTATTTCGTGCTGCGAAATTAAAAAAAAATCCTTTGTGTTCTTCCAGACTATGTTCTACATCTATGTCGAATTTCAGCGTGATCTGCTGAGCTGTTCTGGAGATACCCTCTAACAATCATACATATAGGAAACTAATCATTCTCATTTATGAGTATTCGTAATATTAGTAAAAAGATTTCTTACATATTCAAAAATACTTTAAATCTGAATATTTAAAATTCATATGACTGTAGCGAATGAAAAAAAATATCACACTACAAAAAAAATATTAAAAGAACTTTTTTGATTCATACCTAACCTGTAATTAAATGTTTTGTTATAAAATATTATTTTAAAGATATATAATTCCCGCTTTAACGAATCGCTAACGCTCATCACAGAGTTCGAACCTCAAGTCCTTGCGAGCGGGGCGGGCGGGAAAGGGGGGGGGCGGCGCAAGGAGCACGCGGAGCTGCGCGGATTTTTCACTCAAGACCACGTGTTAGTCACGTGCTTCAAACTTTTTACCTCAAGTTTCCCTCGCTCCGGCGTCGTTCGGAAACTTTTATACTTTTTTTTATTATCTGTCATTGCGTGTTGAGCTGCCAGTTGCTAAGTGTTTTTTTTTACATTTGGCCAGTAACAAATATGTGATGTGAAAATTAAAGGAGGTTAATTAAAATATTTCATTAACAATTTAACAAAAATTTTTATGCAAATGAATTTGGGTAGATCCCAATTTTTATATCATTGATTTTTAATATTCTCTATTTGTAACTAAAATGCTATTAAAATTAAAATTAAATTATAGATAAATGTAGCATATTGCTAATACCGTTTTAACGATAACTTGTTTATAAAATTGTGCTTTTAAATATGAGTCTTCTTTAAAACTTTGATGTTAATAAATAATTTTATTTTCCCATGAGATTTTAAGAGTGCATAAATTTTAGTAATTGATTTAATATGTGTTCTTAGAATAGTCGAATTAAATTTATTACATAGGAATCACTTCACCACATTGTCGGCGTTCGGAAATTATCAAATGTTCTAAAACTTTTTTTTTAACTTATGGATATTAAAAATTAAAATGCATCGATTAGTTCCATATTTCGAGTGATCATTAATGTTGATTGATATAAGCCGTGTCTGACGCTCGTAAAGTTTATATCGAGTATTGGCTTCGGATTTCACCCGGAGACCATAGACAATTCCCTTGTTACCGGCGCAAGAGCAATAAAATGCCGCTTTCTCAACAATGCATCACTAGATCGAACCGTTTCGCAATCAACTATACCGTGTCTAGAAAATTCTTAATTGAACTAATGAGAAGTAATTACAATTTTTATTGCGGCCATAATGATTACGATGCCTTAAAATAATAAAAGCAATTAGACATTGATGGGCGTAGCTGAGTGGATCGGGTCGTCCCACTCACACACGCGGCGATCGTGTGAGGTCAAGAGCGGGATGGAAGAGGCTCTGATTAGACGTAATTGTTCAAACGGTTATAAAAGTTGATGTCAGACGGTATTCCGTGTCGTAAAATGGCGCGATGTTTCCACTCGAAACGTCTTAATGTTAAAAAACGAACGGCCGGCAAATATACTACTTACAGCAATTGGCGATTCAGTACTTTCGAACAAGGACAGATGAGTCGACTTGGTCGCGATATGACTTCTAAATTTTATTTATGTCATTCAAATTAATAAAGTTGGCAGGCAATGACGCGTGAACTGTCCAAAGACAAGATAAAGGAAAATATTGCTAATCTTTTTTTTTCTACATTGATTTATTTTTGTTTGACAAGTATAAATATTGAGTACACTAAATAGTTTTAAATATGTATGTAGATGGTCATTTTTATTATTTCTTAAAGATATATATTTTTTAATATCAATTTAAAATAAATTGAGCATCAAAATGTAAAATAATTGCCATTTAGATTTAAACAGATTAAAATAAAAATAAAATGCCACAACACATGCTTATTTTACAAAATAAAACGGTTTATGTTGGCTAAATTAATAAAAAATAATGTATTATTAATGTAATTTGATTTATTAATAATAATTGATCGTTAATTTTAATTACACAATTAATTTAATATCTTTTATATTGCGGTCAGGGGTGACATTTAGTTAACACATATTTATTGACAAAATTCGAATATTTTATGACAGTAACTGAATATTGCATGTAACAGTGGATTTCCACGACCGATGTACCACTACCAAAGTTTATTGTTATCTCTATTTTATGAAAGAAAATGAAAAGGATGACAATGTTTTTGTATGTACAGAGCAATATAAAAGAAGTCTGTGGTAACTTACGGTATTGCGAACGGACTCGGTATAAATTTGGAGTTAATAAAATTTGATGTCGATTATTATTACGCTGATATAAAGATTATTCTCATAAGATTATTTTCAAGACTTCTGAGAAAATTTCTAAATATTGTTAACAATGGTCATACATTTTACTAATATTATAAATGCGAATGTTTTGAAGGATGTATGGATGTTATAAGGTATCTACAGAACGGTTGCTTGGATCTGGCTTAAATTTGGCATAGATTCTAGATCTGTGCCAAATTCGTAGTCTGGTAGAACACATAGACTACTAATTAAGTTTTTTTTTATTCGACAACTATTTCCAATTGTACGTTTAACAATCTATCACAATATTCACAAAGTAACAACAGTTTTAAAGAAAATATGAAGTTGAACGTTTCAATGTTAAAATTTAGGAATTCAGAAGACTTTTTTTGTAATAAGATTCGTATTATTTCCTCATATTATTGATAGGGCTGGAAGGCATGACATATGTTTTGCAAGGCTTAAATTATTTGTATATAAAGGTAGATATGTCGAAGAAAGTATGGATTTGTGTGAAAGAGAATATGCGTAAGAAAGATGTGACTACTGTATAAGACACAATGGGATTTTTTATACCAGAAGGGGGCAAACAAGCAGCGGGAACACCGAGGTGTTCAACGACGCCCATGGACATCAGCAATACCAGAGGAACCGCAAATCCGTTGCCGGTCTTTGAGATGGTGATGTGTGATAAATGTTTTCGTTTCTATATTTATTTTAGCAGTAATTTGAAAGCAATATTGAGATATTGAATTTGTAATAAATTTTACTTTAGCAATGTATTAACGATGGACTGGCAGGAAAAGGCTCAAGACAGGCGACTTTTGCGATCTCTTGTGTCGGAGGCCAAGACACACTTTGGATCGATGCACCAGCAGAGTTTTAAAGTTTTTATTACTTATTTTTAACTTATCTAAACTCATACACTTTAGTTACATTAATTCAGTTGCTTGTTAATTTTACAAGTTTTTTTTTTTAAATTCATATTTTGTAAATAGATTCTATAGACCAATAAATTTATTAAAAAATCTAACTAAAAACTTAGATCATGTAACAGACATATTTAGCTTAAACATATTTCAACCCTTTTAACGTACGTTAATAAAAATAAAATTTTATTTTATTTTATTTTTATTTATTTTATGCGTAGGCTTCCAAAATGGAGGGAAATGGATGGATAGGATATTGGACTAATGAATAACAAAGAATTAGTCGTAGTAGTTATTTGGTAAATTTGCATTTCAAAAGCGTTAGCGGTGGGTAGCATCTTACTTCTATAATCATGATTTGGTGTCTGGAAGCAGTTTTCATGATACATATTTAAGAATAAAAAAACACGTTGAGAGACACTACAATATCAAGCGGTCAAAGGGTTACAAATAAACTGTGTCTATTTGTATATTTGGGTATAGTATATTAAGTGACACGTAGTAAGTTTGCGTTATCTTATAACTTTGAAAATATTAAATTGAATTTTGCACTTGAAAGTGATTTATCTTTCTAAGTTGGTCTTACTTGATTGTATTGAAAAGTATTGTAGTTACAGTTTTTGTATAGTAAAAGGTAACCTCGAAAAAACTAATTTTATAACACGATTTTCTTTTGTTTAAAATTAGAAAATGAATATGATGACGTAATAAGTAATGTCTTACCTGATTTTATAAGCGTAAGAATATGGTTCAAAGATTTTTGTAAAGTGAGTTTAGAGATGATCTTTCTGTACACGTGGTTTGCGAGACACACTATGGATGGTCGATCGCGTAATATTTAAACAAATACGTGTGTTATACCTACGAAAAACCGAACACATGACGAGTTCGAACCAATCAGCTGTTTGTGCCGCGCACGCCCCGCCCCGTTTGCACTTTATCGCGACAAAAAAACAACAAAACTTTTTTTTTCGATCCAACTAACTTTTTTTTTACAGCGAAGCAGCCATAAGTATTGGTAAAAGGTTAACAACTGTCAACTGTTTTCACAAAATTAAAAAGTTCTTAATAGATTTTTGAAAATCGAATGTCGTTTAAATTGACGTAATCAAATCCAATTAATTTTTGAAAATTGTTGTAGTTATCTAAAGTTAAAGTTGACTTTTATTTTTATTTATGTATTGATTTATAATCTTTTTTATTATATTTTAGAGAATATTTCACACCTGTCTATGCGGTTGCTACAATAATTTGTAATTATAACGTGTTACTCTTGATATGTTGGTACTTACAATACACAGCGGCAGTTGAAGGTGTCAAGATTTGTTTTCGTAGCTGCGCTGTTAATTAGCCGGCGTTCGCTGATTCATCACTTTGTAGCGTCTCAAACGGCCACCGCGAGCCAATAATTAACACTGCAAATTACCTCTCCAATATCCTTCGATTCGGTTCTTAGAACGACACTTGTGACTCGGTTACGATTTCCGAACGCACAGGAAACTTTCGAATTAGCTGTCAAAAGACGCGCGAAATGTTTTTTTTTTAGTCTGTGGCCGTGACACGAGCTAACACAAACACGGCCGACCGCGCCAGAACGCCGACGTTCACTAGCCGCCGCCGCTCGGCCAAGTCGAGGAGAAGAAGGCAGCGGTCTCGGCCAACCCGCCTTCCGTCCGTCTCGCTCTCGCGTGGCTCGCCCGCCCGCACCATTTTTACGGTTTAACCGACTCGATTCAATTCAACTCAACTCAATTGTCGTGGCGCGAATGCCTTCGCACCGGACGCTAGAGTGAGACACATAGACGACTTTCAGACGAATAGAATTTTTCATTATTATTTTTTAATTATTTATCAAAATTAAGCTCACGAAGATATGGACGCAGTCGAATCGAAGGTGCGATGCATCCGGTCAAGAGATCACGTTCGGAAAATCGAAATGGAGCCTTAATCTTAGTTTAAGACGCAGAGTGTTCGGGCCGGGTGGGTCGTCTCGCTCGCGCGGGCGGCGGCGCAGCGGCCGAGCGAGACGCCCGCTCGCGAGAGGCGGGCCCGCGCTCGGCCCGCGCCGTTGGCTGTGTAAAGTTTTAGGCCGAAACATGTAAAAATGCATCTTGAAAAAAAGTTATGTATTAAAAAAAAGATTGTTAGTGCGAGCGGGGGGGAGGGACATTAACGCCGGTGGGAGATAGTGAGCCCGGCTTTTTTCGCGTGCTGTATTTTGGGGAGTGCGGGACTGGACAATGCATTATCGGGCCGCATTGCCGATCCGGACGCATCACTCCGCAGCCCGCACACCTCCCGCTGCATTTGAATGGATTATGGCTTCGCACCTTGACTAATTGTACTAAATTTAGAAATTAACTAAAATCAAACGAAAAACTTATAATAACCTTAAACATTGCAGTCGATCGAATGCTTAAAGTTGTTTAATTAAAAAACTTTGAAAGTCATTATGCCGTACTAAAAGAAGCACTAAAAGTTTAATTTGCTGCTTTGAATACACTTAATCAATTCTAAAAGTTTCTATAAAGTACAAACTTTAGTTCAGTACATTTTTAATTTCATTTCTAAAACTAACTCGTGATCAGGAATACATGAAACAAAGGACATAATTCCAACTTCTTATACAACAAAGCGATTAAGCCTTAAACGTCTACTCAAAAGACTACGGTAATTATATACGACAAAAACTTTATACACCTCTAGAATTTTTTTATATTATAACATTGATATTTGATATCCAATGGTACCAAGTTTGATCTTTACATTATATCTTGACCATAAAGTTACAAGAACCCATCACATTTCATACTTTTCCAAAATTCTTCAACATAACAAGAAAATTCCACAATAATTATGAATCCACTTTCCATTACATTAAAATGATACACAAACACGTCATTTTAATTGTTAGGTCTAGAAAAAAAAATAAAAAATAAAATTCTCACCTTTATATGAGGTAATTGACTACTATCGACAAAGATCGCTTCTCAGATGCTGAAACTAGCAACGTCCAGAAAACATATTTAGTATTACTTATTCTTCTGAAGGAGCGTCGATGGCTCAGGGGTCAAGCACTTGACTTGCAATCTGCAGGTTCTGGATTCGAATCCCGCCATGTACCAATGTGTTTTTCGATTTCCGATTTACATATGTACATTTATCCGACGTTCTTACGGTGAAGGAAAACGCTGATGCAACCTGCACATATTCGAGAAGAAATTCAAATATATGTGTGAAGTCAACAACACGCTCTTGGTCAGCGTGGTTGACTATGGCCTAATCACCCTTAACTTAGGGTAGGCTCCGAGCCCCTCGGTGGGGACGTATAGTGAGCTGATGATGATGATTCTTCTGAAGTAGGGTTGGCGATAGACAGGCGACCGGCTGTAAAAATTAAGTCAAAACTTTAAGGTTTATAAAATCTTGTGCGCTGACCACACGTGAGTAGGATACCCAGAGAAATAATGAACGATTCCAGTTATGATACTATTTAGATAATAATTTCCTTGATAAAGTTTTAATCTTATTATTTATTAGGATTTTGTACTTTTCACGATTTTATGATATAAACAAATTTCTTGGTACTGTTAGGAAGAAAATCCGACTCTGTGCCTGTGTATTAACACAACACTAGCCTTACTAAAATTTCGACGTTTATGTCCCCTCACTAATCATTCTGACACTTGACTTTGTAACGAAAGCACGTCATTCGCGCCAAAACATTTTAATTAATAATTTCTAAAAGTACGTAGTAGTTTCCGACGTTTCATTGCTTGACCACACTTGACGGCTATCTTCAATTAAAATGACAACGTAATTAGTCTTCTGTCTTGTTCTTTTTACTGAAAACAGTCGTGAGAACTTATTTAGTACAATATAGAAATAAGTAACAGAGTACAAATGAAATAAAAAAATAAGTTATTCGCATAAGCAATTGACAATTTGATTTGAAGTTTTTAATAGAATAATTATATTAATAATATTATATTATAAACATACATATATCTTACTTCTTATTAAAATTATAAATGCGAAAGTTTAGATTGATGGATGGTTGTTTGAAGGTATCTCCGAAACCGCTCAACGGATCTTGATGAAGTTTGACATAGACGTAGAACATAGTCTGGAAGAACACATAGGCGGCTCATTAAGTTTTTTTTAATACCGCTGACGGAGTCGCTGGCGATAGCTAGGTATTAAGATGAAGAAGGGAACCCTTCATCTGCTAATAATATGTTCTTCTAAGGCTTTTCATCATCATCCAACTATGCCCTTTCTCATTTATTTAGGGTCTATCTTCTATGTCCAAATCCAGATCTTTCTGTGTGCTTTCATGGTTGGACAAGGAATGAAGAATTTGCTAATGATTTTACGGCCGGTTGCCACCAAGGTGTAACCCATTTTGAGTTCTTCGCCTCGGAAATTAGTGGTAAAATTTTTGGTCTAGTTCGTTTGTAAATTTTAACAATATAGTTAAGCAGTCCGTGGTGGCGCAACATTCGAGAGTGGACAAGAGCTGCGAGTGCCGTCCAACTATTTGGCCTCGCAAGAGACAAAAGAAAATTTGGAGAAAGAAAATAAGTCGGAGAGGCACCTGAAGAAGAAGACGAAGTTAGGTAGACTGATTATCAACTGACTTTGTTATTAATTGAGGATTAACACTTTTAAATCTATAATGTTTCTTCACTAATGTACCTAAGTACTGACGTAGTTTTTAATGATTTTTATAATAAATGTTCAATAACTTTTGTATTTTTCCGACACAGTTACCTCTGTCTGTGTATTCCAGTTGGCACGAAAACGTAGGCCCGATTTCGATGGATTTTGTTTTTGTTGGAAAGTAAAAAATTGAAAAGAAAAACCAGAGTTTAGAGTTAGGAACAGAGCTGCGAAAAATTGTAGCTAAAATTCTACATAAAATGCGGGCTTCGAGTAAATATTGTATAGATTTGCTTCGGGATTCTGTCTAGGAATAAAATATACAACCTTTTTGATGGTTCATTTACATAATAATACATAAAGTAAAAGTCTTTAAGGTCTATACAGGGTGTTCGGAAAAGACGTATACATCGAATTAGGTTCGATTCCTCACCACAGATTCTTTGGTTGAAAATATGACGATTAAATTCAAAGTGTATTCAAAGTTGACTAGTTTAATCGCTGGAGGCCTTTAAGTGAGTCTTAAATAGATTATACTCATATTGAAACCATGGTTTCTGGAAGTTAAACTAAATTATTTTTCAGAACAAACCTTTGTTAAAATTTGGTCGAAAACACGTTACATCATCAGCTTACGTTTACTTACATCATCAGTTTACTTTACGTTGTACGCCCTCACTGAGGGGCCTAGTCACCTGTGACTTAGGGCTGGCTCCGAGAACACGTTCATCCAGAGAATATTTGTGACGGCATGAATAATCTCCGTCCATTTCTTTTCGTGGATTCAGAATTTAATTTAGAAGATTTTTGTTCTTTGATAAAATATTAATTTGGCAAGCGTTTTTGTCACAAAATCGAATTTCCTGAATTAACCGTGATTTAACTACAGCACTATAGGGTATTTTTTTATCAAAATTTAGATCTGATCTATGATAATTAAGGTAACAAGACACACAACCTTACAGTCACAGAACTAAATAAATATCAAATTAAAAACCTCCGTCAATTGTATTTCCTACACTATTATATATTTTTTTATTTAGCGCGAAAGAAGTCACGGGCAACTGCTAGTTATCAATAAGGAATTCTCCATAGCAAATATGTATGTCTCTATTTAAAAATATTTATTTGAATGCTGCTACATATATTGAATAGTTGAAATACATTTGTACACATATAAGGAAAAGACTCCTAACGACATTTTCTTCACCGTATAAGTGGCTTATTGACAATTCACAATTAACTACGACCATTGAAGACTGTTACAAGAATCTAAATATATTTCAAATTCCTAAATTCCACTGAATATTGGGTTCTTATTACCGAAACATTTAAATAACATATTCACCATTATTTATTTTCTTGAAATAAACTCAGAAAACATTATTTTGATTGAAATCATTGTTTTTAAGTTCTAATAGCTATTTTTTAGCGTCAATAGCCTAATGGTTAAGGATACGGATTTCCGATGACGAGGTCGGGGGTTCGAATCCCGCCATTCGACTATTGTCGTAAACCATATCCTAGCACAAACATACAGCTTAGTTGGATGGTAAAAGAAATATTAGTAAATTTCCAAAAAAAATCTGCTAAAATTAAAAAAAAAAAGAACTAATAAAAGAATCACAGTTAATATTTCCTTGAAAACTGCATCTCTGGTACTATATTTTTGAATCCAAATTAATGCCAGTATTAGGCAGTTATAGCAGAAAAGTTTGGACTGATTAGTTGTTCTTTATGTACCTACTATCTTATCCAAGTTCCGTTAATACATTAAATTAGGACTTCAGAACTAGATCTTCTAGCATCACAGACCTTTGTTGACCTTGATTCGTTCCGTTTCATTCTGGCCTAGATTTTCTAATTTACTATGCCTCTTTGTTTTGGACTCAACTTTAACGGTCTTCAGGATTACTCCAGGAACGGCTATCG